ATAACCGCCCTTCAGCGTAACACACCAGCTTCTGTATCTGTATATAGCCGGTATAACCGCCCTTCGGCATAACACATCAGCTTCTGTATCTGTATAGCCGGTATAACCACCCTTCGGCATAACACATCAGCTTCTGTATCTGTATAGCCGGTATAACCACCCTTCAGTGTAACACACCAGCTTCTGTATCTGTATAGCCGGTATAACCGCCCTTCGGCGTAACACACCAGCTTCTGTATCTGTATAGCAGGTATATACGTATAACCGCCCTTCGGCGTAAGACACCAGCTTCTGTATCTGACAGTGTATATCCAGTATAACCGCCCTTCAGTGTAACACACCAGCTTCTGTATCTGTATATAGCCGGTATGACCACCCTTCGTCGCAACACACCAGCTTCTGTATCTGTATAGCCGGTATAACCACCCTTCAGCATAGCACACCAGCTTCTATACTACGATAATTCTTGGAAAATTCCTCAACACCTCAATTCTTGGTTGATAATTATAACTCTGATATTTGAAGACATCACTGTTTCTTGTTCTTTTCTGGGCTGGCAATAGCTATACTAATTATAAGTGGTTAAAAAGTCCACCAGTATATCAGTCATTTTGTACATCGTGCAAACAGTAGTTTGGGCACTTTTCGTCTGTCTTCCATGGATAGGTTTTTTTTCATTTCCGTTACACTAGCACTAGATTTCAATATTCTTGTGAAGATTAACATGATGAGTAAAGATTCCCTCGCAAATATACCATAATATCAAATATGTTATAATAATGATTGCCATTACATAGACTATTTCTAACATCCCCTATTCCATTTAGGAATACGATGTCGGCAGGAGCATTGGTATCAACGTGGATTACATCACAACTTTTGACTTTGGTTTGGCGACTGAAGACAAGGAGTTTCTAATGGCGGTAATCACTCCTAAACTATACTATATTTGTTTATTTGTTTATTAGAATTCACTACAAGTACATACATAAGAATTCACTACAAACATTCAAGTGGAAGGGAGGACAAAACAGAGAATCGGCCTCCTCTTTGCTACCAAAGATCTACCAGCGTTTGTTGAATCGATGATTGTTAGACATAGTAATTAAATAATGAACAAGTGACCAAATATTTGTAAAGACTGATAATGCTGGCATTGCACATGGAGTAATATTTGAATGTTATGAGCTGATTGATAGAAAGTTAGAACCTCACAATAATAAGTGCACTAGAATATTCTCTGTTTCTGTGATATCTGTTTCAAATGTAGATGTTGTTTTTGCAGCAAGGTGCTGTGGCTACTATGGCGTTCCTACATCAATGGGTTCATGAAAACCATCCCGAAGAACGCGAACCCGGGCAATAAACAGCTAGCTCCCGGCCGGAGTCTAGGCGGTTAGTGCCGTATTTGCCCAGTCACAAGTATGCAAATGATGTACATAGTCACAATAAACCATGTAACTCATTTGCATACTTGTGACTGGGCAAATACGGCACTGACCGTCTAGGCTACAAGGACTAGCATGTCGGGGGAACGTACCTGTACTGCGCCTCCGCGAAACACCGATTTTTCCTGTTTTTTGTTTGGTCAACGTTGCATCAGAATTTCGCCTGTTGCAGACGATATTTTTTTAGATCCAACATTTGGAAACTAAAGACGGGATGTTAACCTTCTATACGCGAGTACAACCTTATATGAGACATTCTGCCGAAGTGCCATGCACAATAAATTACGGGTTTCGCGCAGGCGCAATACCTTCTGCCGACGAGTTACAACAAAGGACCTTTTCACGGATCCCATTGCATGCTGGGAGACGTGAAGCACTATGGGCACAAGACACACACATATCTGGTGAATTTCATTACGTATAACAATTCAGTTTATGAATAATGAAGAGAAGAGAGTGAAATCTCCGTTTTATGTTGTTATGGCAGTTTTGGGTGCAATAGTTTGCATTTTACTTTTTCTTATGATTATCATTTACAAAAGGAATTGTAGTTTGAAGTTTGGTAACAGTATTGTGACAGGTGAAACGGTAGTCTTGTTAGGAACACAAGAAATGTCGCTTATACAGTTTATTATAATCACAAAACAATAACAACAAAGTACTATTTGTATGAGGGCCATTTTATCAATTGAAATCTTAATCGGGTGAGTGTATATTGTTTATCTCTATTTCCTAGTTTGAAATGGTGCCATAATGGAAGGAGTGTGACGACTGTGTTTCAGCATACTTGTGGTCAGCATAATATAAGGAACGACGAATTTTCATTATTTTTGACATGTACAGGTAGCTCCTACAACCTTCATCCTAATTATCAAAACATTCAACAACATGGACTGATAATAATGTCAACGAACGTATTTGTATTCACAGCGTGTTAGGTATGGAAACAATTCTACAATTTGTGTGACATAATTAACAAGATCTATGCCAGGTTATAGTGTTCTTACTTGTAGCTTTCTAACCACGCACCTATTCCCCTTCTCTAGGAAGGAAATATACTAATCTCTAATCAAAAACAAACATGTACAAATATACGCAATACGATACGTACGAAAACAAGCATTGCTACAGTCGTATCCTTCTTCTGTCGCTATTCTCTATTGATCATTTAAAATATATCATTATTAGCAATGGTAAAAAAGGTCCAATGTGATAACAATTTCCTAAGAAAAGCTTTGGAATCGTTATGCCGTAATAATTTTTGTTTTAGTATTCGCAATTGGGGAAAGTGTCTCCTTGGTCATGTGACGTAGAGGCAGAGTGCTCGACTCGGAACCAAGAGGTCCCGGGTTCGAGTCCTGACATGCCACCGATCTTGTGTCATTGGGAAAGGAACTTAACACGACTTTCCTCACTTAACTCAAGTGTAAATGGGTATTGTCTTGTCCTGTATTTGTACTCTGTGTTGGTGGCGGCATAAAATGAGTTGATATAACTTGAGTGTGCCGTCGCCATGTTTGGTCATTAAATGTTGGAATGAAATAAGTGCCTCCTCTAATTGTCTCCATTAAATGCAGTGCAGGATCTCGGGCCCATTATAACGTTCTAGCCAACATCATAGAACCTTCTCTTTTGGGATACGGGGGGCGGTACCGACTTCCAACTACCTTTGACCCGTTCTAGTAGCCACTACCCCACCAAGAGTTCTATGAAGCGTCCCTCTCTTCAGTATCCCCGTTGTCGGGGGTAGTATCTTCCCTATCTCTCTGATTGTAACATTTGCACTGTTCTGACCTGGATTTCGGACCGGCGATAGCGTTCTCTCTAACACTACGCGACCTTTTCTTCCCACGGCCGTACTGGGCACCTGCCTTGGCCATCCCATACGGGCTAACAGTTTCGTCAAGATCTTCATCCTTTATCGTTGAGTAATATGGGTCAACTGCAGTGCTATCGGCGGTAGCTCCGTCAGCCTGGTTTTCGGGGGCATTGCCCGGTTGGTTGTTGCTTCTCAGTTCGGCCATCACGTGTTCGTCTATATAGTCATTATATTTACTCCGTAGACAAATACAGACTGCGAAAAGGACAAGAATGGGTACTGTACACAAGGGAACAAAAACGTACCAGTTTAGATTCAGATATGTCTGAACTCTCGTAGGAAGAAATACTACGACGGGATGTGTGTGGGCTTTAGTGTTGACGACTGTTGAATGAGTGGGCGTACTCGTCCTAATTCTCTCAGAGGTTGCCAGCTCGTGTACCACATGCGGTGCAATGAAATTGTCTGGGATGTGAATTCCAGCTTCGATAGTGCTAGTGGATGACTTAACACCGCATTGGATAGATCCCCCTTGCCACTGTCCGGCTAGTTCTCCATCTACAGCTAACACAGACGCCGTCCTGACACCATAGTTTGGAGCTGCCTGATTGTGTGAGCAATTTGTAGTTACACGGGACGGCGTCTCCCATGTCCATCCACAAGCACTTATGTCGTGTTGGAATGAAATGTTGAAGTGCTGAGATGTTAGGTTGGCGTTTCTTTCATCCTCACCTAAACCCGGCAAGAGAATAGTAGTATTATCTGGTAGGACCCAGAAGATACTGCTCTCTTCCTCCCAAGTCGCCTGGCACCGAATATGCAAATCGTGATCACCAATGTCCTGCGTAATCTTCACCACTGGCGAGGGGCATGGCAAGTCATTTGTGGGAACAGAGAAGATGTATTTGCCTTCCATCTCCAGTGGGTAGTGGCAGGGTAAACTAGAAGGGATTAGAGTAAAGGAACTCCTGCCACGGGTTGCGAACCAACGATTTGCACAGGTACAACGTAGTCTGGTTCCTTTCCAAAACAGCAACAGTTTCATTCTAATTCCTCGTACCCAAGACTCCCACAGAACCGTCAACGGGTTGTCTTTCAAGTCCAAATCGAATAATCCCTCAAGACTGCGAAAGGCGTCTTGCTCTATAACGGTGATCAAATTTTTATCTAGAATTAACCTGTTCATGCGTCTTATGCCGAAGAACCACTGACTTTCCACCCTCTTCAATCTGTTACCCCTCAGACAAAGTGTGCCCAAAGACCTGTTTTGAAAACTGCCTTTATCGATGATCTCTATCTTGTTGTAGGACAGGTCCAGCGCTAGCAACATTTCTAATTTTTCGAAATAATGCTGCTCAACCTTCACCAGTTGATTGTGTGAAAGGTCGAGCGCATTGGTGCGAACCAGGCCCTGAAAAGCCCCACTATGGATTGAGGAGATCTTATTGGATGATGCGTTTAGCTGTAACACATTGCTCAGACCATTGAATCCACCTCGAGCTAAATAGCTCAGTGACGTCTGGCGAATTCGCAACCACTCCAAGGTTTTGAACCTCACCAGACCTGATGGTGCCAGTGTCGTCAGATTCACCCCACGAATGTCTAGAAAGCGAATGTTTTGTAGGATATCACCGGGGCCCAAAGAACCAGACAGATTGGTAGATGTTGTTTCAGTCAGTTTGAGAGACAAGGTACTGGGCTGAATGTTACACACAAGTAACCTAAAACTCTCGAAATCTGACATGCTACAGACGATACACCTACGGTACATATTGTCTGCTGGCTTGACGATGTCAGGACAGGTCGTATCTTTGCAGGCATCTCGTCGAAAGGTTTGGCATCGGGTGCGAGTTAAAACTCCGCGGGGAGAGACAACCCCGCTTGGAAATGTTAGATATACTGACAAAATCAAGATTGCAGCTCTGGTGATCTTTGCAGATGTAGCCATTTTGGACGATGATGTGCAATATTCTCTATTCAACTGGCGTTTTACAGTCTTTGAGAAAATATGGTAGTTGTGCCGATTTCTACTTATAATGGAGCTCGTCTTGTACCGAATCTGATACGGATTATTTCCCCTTGTGTGAAAAATGGATGCTTTGTAAGAATGTGTTGAAAAGGACAACAACTAAAAGGTACGCGACGTTTGAATATGTATCAACTGTCAGCTACCAGTAGAGGGCTAAACAGTCGTCCTGCAAAAAAATGGGATAAAAATAAAACATTATGCATGGTATACTTACACATATGGAGTCAAAGGTAAAAGCATCTATTCGCAAAACAACTATCTTAAAATACTACACAAATAATACAATGTTGCAAAAGCACATTAAACAAAAATGGATTGCTGTCAAGAGAATAGCCTCCTTTGCAGACGTTCCCAGATCGGTCTTTTTGGGGGGGGTGGGGGTTTTCTGATCAACCGTATAGATCGTACGCAATAGAAGCTCAGGCCGCCAACCCTACATACTAATAGCTATCCCAGGGGAAGCTTCTATTGCGTGCGATCTACGTTTGATTAGAAAAATCCCCCCCCCCCCAAGAATGACCAATCCCGGAACGTCTGCAAAGGAGGCTATCAAGAGACACATATTCCTATATCCTGGTCGCCTTGCCTTGAAACGAAAACGCGTCGTCCTTGAAAAGAGTATCTCGTGTCCCTGTCTTCGATGTGGTTTTACGTTGTGACTAAATTGTCTGCCAGGTTCTGTTCTGAATTTAATAGTGTTAAAAATGTTCTGGAAAAATGTGGTCCAAAGTGCGCTAAGAACGCCAAAAAGTATCACAGCTGCTTTAAAAGTAAGCTTTTACCATTTCGTTCAAATGCAAGCTGTTCCTTATACTATAGATTTATGGCCTTTGAAAGGTTTACTGAGCAATGTTAGCGAAAAAAAGCACCTGCCAAGTATATATTAGTACGTTCCTATTTCTAGATTTCTTAACGTTTAATACTAATACATTATTTCGGCTCACATTTGACATATGTTGTACTAAGACTAGTATCTTGGCAAATATTTCTGGTAATGAATTCATCTAACCATTTCTTATCCGTACTGTATACTCGTAGTAGTATCCGTATTGTTTAGTAATCCAACCTGTATACGCACTTCTCTACAAAGTACAATGGTTATGATCCCCCAGAAGATCTAGTCGAATATATAAAGAATAGATGAGATAGGTTATGGAAATAAATTAGGCAACTTACATGACTTACGAATGAAATTTCTACTCGTTTTAAGTGAACATGCTTAAAACATAGCAGTATAGAGTGATGCATTAGATTTAACACGTACACACAGAGACGTTCAGTAGAAGCATCTAAAACTATTGATTCTCTGAATAATTTTACCTCAGGCTGCTTCCGAAGATCGCGAGTACTTCACTTCGTCGTAGCGAAAAAAACAAGCGAGCACATATAAGAGTGCTGATCCGCCGATCTGCAAAGCTGAGACACAAAAGAATGCATAGATGTAAAAAAAACGCAGGCCTGTCTTTTCGTAATATATGAATTATGAATCCAGGACAACATATCACAGACCTTTTAGATACACCCACACACAGTGGGTCTTTTATAATAATTCCAAATAAGATTTTTTTTCAACCTTATTTTAATCTATTCAGGCAATCAGCTACTTTAAAGTTTCCATACCAACTATAATCTACATTTATCTCAAAAAATCATATTCAAACGGCATTTATTTCGTAACACTACATATATCTTTTATTGAAATATACACGTCCTTGCAATATACACGTCCTAAAAAGTACTGATAGTTTCCGATTAGGATGGCTTAATGATGCTACTGATGTTACAAACTTTTATTTCACGGCACATCGCGTTTCTAGGTCGTCAGGTTATGACTTTATTCATTTCCATGTCATCCCCATATTTGTTCACACCGTTTCCTGACATGCCACCGATGTTGTGCGCTTGGGAAAGGCACTTAACACTACTTTCCTCACTTAACTAAAGTGAAAATGAGTATTGTCCTGTCCTGTTTTTGCACTCTGTGTTGGTGGCGGCATAAAATAAGTTGATATAACTTGAGTGTGCCGTCGCCATGTTTGGTCATTAAATGTTGGAATGAAATAAGTGTCTCCTCTAATTGTCTCCATTAATTGCAGTGCAGGGTCTCAGGCCAGTTATAATGTTCTATCCAACATCATATGACCTTCTCTTTTGGGATACGGAGGTCGGTATCGACTTCCAACTACCTTTGACCCGTTCTAGTAGGCCTACCCCACCAAGAGTTCTATGAAGCGTCCCTCTCTTCAGTATCCCCGTTGTCGGGGGTAGTATCTTCTCCATCTGTCTGATTGTAACATTTGCACTGTTCTGACCTGGATTTCGAACCGGTGATATTGTTCTCTCCAACACTACGCGTACCTTTTCTTCCCTCGGCCGTACTGGGGCACCTGCCTTGGCCATCCCGTACGGGCTAACAGTTTCGTCAAGGTCGTCATCCTTTATTGTTGAGTATATGGGTCAATAGAAGTGCTATCGGCGGTAGCTCCGTCAGCCTGTTTTCGGGGGCATTGCCAGGTTGGTTGTTACTTCTCAGTTCGGCCATCACGTGTTCGTCTATATAGTCATTATATTTACTCCGTAGACTAATACAGACTGCGAAAAGGACAAGAATGGGTACTGTACACAGGGGAACAAAAACGTACCAGTTTGGATTCAGATATGTCTGAACTCTCGTAGGAAGAAATACTATGAAGGGATGTGTTTGGGCTTTAGTGTTGACGACTGTTGAATGAGTGGGCGTACTCGTGCTAATTCTCTCAGAGGTGGCCAGCTCGAGTAACACATGCAGCGCATTGAAATTGTCTGGGACAAGCATTCCAGCCTCGATAGTGCTAGTGGACGACTTAACACCGCATCGGATGAATCTCCCTTTCCACTGTCTGCTTAGTTCTACATCTACAGCTAACACAGACACCGTCCTGACACCATAGTTTGGAGCTGCCTGATTGTGTGAGCAATTTGTAGTTACACTGGACGGCGTCTCCCATGTCCATCCACAAGCACTTGTGTCGTGTTGGAATGAAATGTTGAAGTGCTGAGATGTTAGGTTAGCGTTTCGTTCATCCTCACCTAAACCCGGCAACAGATTAGTAGTATTATCTGGTAGGACCCAGAAGATAGTGCTCTCTTCCCCCCAAGTCGCCTGGCACCGAATATGCAAATCGTGATCACCAATGTCCTGCGTAATCTTCACCACTGGCGAGGGGCATGGCAAGTCATTTGTGGGAACGGAGAAGATGTATTTGCCTTCCATCTCCAGTGGGTAGTAGCAGGGTAAACTATAAGGGATTAGAGTAAGGTAAGTTCTGCCACGGGTTGCGAACCAACGATTTGCACAGGTACAACGTAGTCTGGTTCCTTCCCAAAACAGCGACGGTTTAATCTTAAATCCTCGTACCCAAGACTCCCACAGAACCGTCAACGGGTTGTCTTTCAAGTCCAAATTGGATAAGCTCTCAAGACTGCGAAAGGTGTCTGGCTCTATAACGGTGATCAAATTTTTATCTAGAATTAACCTGTTCATGCGTCTTATGCCGAAGAACCACTGACTTTCCACCCTCTTCAATCTGTTACCCCTCAGACAAAGTGTGCCCAAAGACCTGTTTTGAAAACTACCTTTATCGATGATCTCTATCTTGTTGTAGGACAGGTCCAGCGCTAGCAACATTTCTAATTTTTCGAAATAATGCTGCTCAACCTTCATCAGTTGATTGTATGAAAGGTCAAGCATAGAGATGCGAACCAGGCCCCTGAAAAGCCCCACTATGGATTGAGGAGATCTCATTGGATGATGCGTTTAGCTGTAACACATTGCACAGACCATTGAATCCACCCCGAGTTAAATAGCTCAGTGACGTCTGGCGAATTCGCAACCACTCCAAGGTTTTGAACCTCACCAGACCTGATGGTGCCAGTGCCGTCAGATTCACCCCACGAATGTCTAGAAAGCGAATGTTTTGTAGGATATCACCGGGGTCCAAAGAACCAGACAGATTGGTGGATGTTGTTTCAGTCAGTTTGAGAGACAAGGTACTGGGTTGAATGTTACACACAAGTAACCTAAAACTCTCGAAATCTGACATGCTGCAGACGATACACCTACTGTACATATTGTCTGCTGGCCTGAGGATGTCAGGACAGGTCGTATCTTTGCAGGCATGGCGTCGAAAGGTTCGGCATCGGGTCTGAGGAAAAACTCCTCGGGGAGAGACAACCCCACTTGGAAATGTTAGATATACTGACAAAATCAAGATTGCAGCTCTGGTGATCTTTGCAGATGTCGCCATTTTGGACGATGATGTGCAATATTCTCTATTCAACTGGCGTTTTACAGTCTTTGAGAAAATATGGTAGTTGTGCCTATTTCTGCTAATAAAGGAGCTCGTCTTGTACCGAATCTGATACGGATTATTTCCCCTTGTGGGATAAATAGATGCTTTGTAAGAATGTGTTGAAAAGGACAACAACTAAAGCGTACGCGACTTTTTGAATATGTATCAACTGCCAGCTACCAGTAGAGGACTACAACAGTCGTCCTGACAAAAAAAGGGATAAAAATAAAACATTATGCATGGTATACTTACACATATGGAGTCAAAGGTAAAAGCATCTATTGCTAATACAACTATCTTAAAATACTACACACATAACATAATGTTGCAAAAGCACATTAAACAAAATTGATTTTTTAATCAAAACATTTTTTATTCGTTTAA